CTTTATCAATATTAGGAATATGGATTTTTACAAATTCACCAATTTTGAATGCACGATTTTTTTTAGTTTTGTATTTTATTTCCATAGTGCTTCTGATAAGCTCTTGATTTTCTTAACATTTAGAATTGCAACTTGTCAAATTTTTTCATGCTTTTCAAAAGAAGGTCGAGCTGAATTCATAATAATATGTAATAGTGATCGCTGCTTTAAAAAAAAAATTAAAATTACAAATTGAATTTACATATTATAAAGAATTTTTAATATAATATAATAAATACAGTACTTTATTTTCTTGTGATTTAATAGAATATTCATACATTTGCTGTTTTTCTTTTTCACAGATAGTAATATCTGATTCAGAATCACTAATTACAATGACTTCAGACTTTGTATTATTGAGCTTAATTTTATTTGTAAATTTTGAACATTTTGGTTTAGAGAGTTCTTCATTAGAAAAATAATCATCAGCTAAAAATTAATTTGAAGTTAGTTTATTATTTAAGAATTTACAAATATAATTATTTTTTAAAAATTATGATCTTCAAATAAATTTGAATAATTATTATTTTTGAAATAATTATTATTCTCTTTAGATAAATACTGATAATTATTATTTTCTGCAAATGAATTTTGATGTTTATTCTTTTCTTCAAATGAATCTTGATCATTTTCTTCAAATAAATCTTGATTATTTTCTTCAAATAAATTTTGACGATTATTATTTTCTTCAAGTGAATCTTGACGATCATCATTTTCTTCAAGTGAATTTTGACAATCATTATTTTCTTTATGTGAATCTTGACAATTATCATTTTCTCTATCATAATTGTCATTGTTTAAAATTGCAGATATGTTTGTATCACTATGAGGAAGCTGTCCAAATACAATATTATATGGTATAGTTTTATAGACCCTGCAGTATTGATTATTCATAGCCCTTTAAATAAATTAAATATAATAATAAAATGTTAAAACATATAAAAACCAAATTAACCAATATATAGACGAATTAAAAAAAAGTCAACAATTTCGATAAAAATTAAAAAAATCGACCTGCTAAATGCCACA